CGCTCTGAGGCAGATGGCCTGGGCTGGCCTGCAGGCCTCCTGCTGTGCAGGTGGCCGAGCCCCGGGGCCTCGCCTGTAAAACAGTGAAACCAGGAAACATGCTAACTCAACACAGCACAGGGCAGTGCTCCCATCCCAGACCGGAGGGCCTGGGTTAGAATCCCGGCTCCTCTTCCCGTCTCACTTCCTGCTGTTCAGATCCTGGGACGCAGTAGATGATGGTTCACCCGCGTGGGAGACCCGGATGGAATTTCTGGCTCTGCCTGCCCCTCCCCCAGCTGCTGCAGGCATTTGGTGGGGTCAGACAGCAGAAGATCTCTCTGTGTCTCTCTGGTTTTCAAATAAATAAAAATTAATTAATTTTAGAAATAAGATCACGCATAATCCCATCTGTAACTTGTCCTATTATGCAAAAGCACTTCACAGAGTCTGTGGGAAAATGGAATTAAGAGTTGAGTTTGTTTTGGTACCACACTTTTGGAATCTGCTCATAGTTTTTTCATGACGCGCATCCATGAACTTTCTGTGATGACGCCTTATGTAACGGCAGCCAGTGGACAGCACCTGGCACCCGGCCGTCGTCCTGGTCTGTGGCAGTGGGGCAGGCGCCCGCCGGGGCCTGCACGCAGGCCCTCCCCTGAAAGCTGAGAGAGGCTGCCTCCAGCTGAGGAGGAGAAGCCAAGTGTAGGTCCCAGAGAAACCTGGGTGCAGACGCCACGCCTTAACCGTGACGTCCCCTGCTCAAGAAGCTGACGTTGAAAGAACGTGGCCACTTGATTGCGGAGCATTTGCGGCGAGATGGGAAGGAGCACACCCAGACGGCCGCGATTTGCCCTCTGCCCCTCACTGAAGGGCTGGGTGTAGCCCTCCCTGCCTGGGAAGGGGGGTGCGGCGTGTCCTCCCCCGTCACCTGCTCCACAAGGAAGCGGGGGGAGGAGGAGGTTCACTTTCTCATCCTTCTGCAGTGTGGCCAGGGCAACCTGTAGGTGTACAGTAGCCCTTAGGAAAGGAGCCTGGCGTTTAGTTACCTTTTCAAAGCCTCCATTTTTTTTAAATGATTTATTTATTTATTTGAAAGAGCTACACTGAGGAGAGGCAGAGAGAGAGAGAGAGGTCTTCCATCCGCTGGCTCGCTCCCCAGTTGGCCGCAGTGGGGACCTGGGGATTAGGACCTAGCGCATGGATGTTGAACAGGCTTCCCAGGTGTGGCTGTCGGGCACCACCGCCTGTGAGCTGCCTATTTAAGGGGTTCCCCACAACTTCCAGTCCCCTGGACCATCTGAAGCCAGGAGCTTTTTCCAGGTCTCCCACATGAGTGCAGGGACCCAAGGACTTGGGCCATCTTCTACTGTTTTCCCAGGCCATAGCAGAGAGCTGGATCAGAAGTGGAGCAGCCGGAGTCGAACCGCTACTTTACCCGCTGTGCCGAAAGCGCCAGCCCCAGCCTCCGTGTTTTGCGTTTGGCTGTTGAGCAGGCGTCTCTATCCTAATGGCATCTGAGCTGCTCCCAGCCGGCCGCAGTGGGGACATGTGCCATGAGCACCTTGGAGTCTCGCGTGACTCGCAGATAAGCCGACCTAGGGTCACTCGGGAGTGGAAGCTTCACTTCCTGCACTGTTCAGCCCTGCTCTTTCTCCCTTGCCCAGCCTTTGGGTCAAGGCCACATTCACTAACACTTCTGGTGGGAGAAAGCAGGCAGCGCACAAGGAGGAGGTTGGCCGGCGTTGTGGTCCAGTGGGGTAAGCTGACGTCTGCCTCACCAGCCTCTCATATCAGAGCACTGGTTCAAGTCCCGGCTGCTCTGCTTCTGATCCAGCTTCCTGCTAATGTGCCTGGGAAGGCAGCAGATGGTGACAGCTCAAGTACTTGGGCCCTTGCACCCATGTGGGAGACCTAGGTGGAGTTCTTGGTTTCTGGCTTCAGCCTGGCCCAGCCCCAGCTGTTGTAACCATTTGGGGAGTGAACCAGCAGATGGAAGATCTCTTTGTCTCAGTCTCTCCTCTCTCTTTCTGTCACCCTGCCTTTCAAATAAGCAAATGAATCCTTAAAAAGGAGGAGGGGGGCCGGCGCTGTGGCATAGTGGTTAAAGCTTGAAGCCTGCAGTGCCAGCATCCCACATGGGCACCAGTTTGGGTCCTAGCTGCTCCACTTCCGGTCCAGCTCTCTGCCTAGGAAACAAGAGAAGATGGCCCAAAGTCCCTGGGCCCCTGCATCCGTATGGGAGGTCTGGAGGAAGCTCCAGGCTCCTCCAGCGATGTGCTTCAGTTCCGCACATCTGAGGAATGAACCAGTGGATGGAAGACCTCTCTCTCTCTCCCCCTCCCCCTCCCCCTCTCCCTCTCCGTAACCCTGCCTTTCAAATAAATAAATAAATCTTAAAAAAATAAAAAAAGGAGGAGGAGGCAGATGGGTCTATTTACTTATTCTTGCCTAATGTCTGAAATAAGATTCAGAGCAGTCATTCTCAGAATCATAACTGGGTCCCATTTCTAGAAGTGTCTGCCTCCGGGGACCTGGTGGGTAGGACCTTGCACGTGGACATTGTAAAGGCTTCCCAGGTGTGGCTGTCGGGCACCACTGCCTGTGAGCTGCCTGTTTAAGGGGTTCCCCGCAACTTCCAGTCCCCTGTCTGTGCAAACTTTCGTTGCCTCCTCTGAGCAGGAAAAGGCCAGAAAGGACTTGTGCACACTGAACGCAGGCAGGCGTCCTGGTGCCCCAGGGGCGTGAGAACATCAGCCTTTGAAAAGGCCTTGGACAAAGGATTGGGAATCCAGGGTGGAAGGCGGGAGGGGAAATTCAGTCTGGTTTACTTTTTTTTTTTTTTTTTTTTTAAGGTTAATTCCATCTGCTAGTTTACGCTCCAAAATGGCTGCAACAGGTAGGGCTGGGTCAGTCTGAATCCAGGAGCTTCAGCCAGGTCTCCCACGTGAGTGCAGGGGCCCAAGCACTTGAGCCATCTTCTGCTGCTTTCCCAGGCGTATTAGCAGGGAGCTGGATCAAAAGTAGAGCAGCTGGGACGGAAACCAACGCTCTGATGTGGGATACTGGCGTCACAAGTGGCAGCTTAACCTTCTGTGTCACATTGTGGGCCCCTGGATTCTGGTGTCAGCCTCATCAGTAACCAGCTCTGCCCTGGGAGGCAGCAGGTGACGGCTCAAGTACCTGGGGCCCTACCACCCACACGGGAGACCCGGATGGAGCTCCCGGCTCTTGGATTGGGCCCAACCCAGCCCTGGATGTTGCAGGCATTTGGAGAGTGACCCAGTGGATGGAAGGTCTCTCTCTCTCTCTCTCTCCCCTCTGCCTTTCAAATAGATCCGTGATTTTGTTTCAGTGGTGCTCCTGAAACCTGCCTCAGCTCCTTCCCACGGTTTGAGGCCGTGCTGCCCGGGCTGAGCATCCCTGACAAGCCCTGAGCAGTGCTGTGTGCGGACGGGTGGCTCGCGGGAGTCATTGTGGTTCCCAGCTCTCGGAGAGCTGCTTCTGTTGGCACAGAGACCCGGGGGGCAGCAGCAGTGGCTGTGGGTTGGACCACACAGGCAGCACACAGGCCCTGCCGGCAGCCTGCTTCCCAGGCGGTGGAAGGGAAGTATGTCTGCAAGAGACAGCCCTGAGCCCCAGTTCCTTACCTGAGCCCCGGTCCCTGGTGGCCTGCGGGAGGCAGGACTTCCAGGCTGCATCCTTGCTTGCCGCTGTTTTTAGCCTGCCTGGAATCACAAAACTACCATCCACGTGGTAGCGGGCTGGACTATATGTAACACTGGTATGTATACATGGTATAAGTAAAGCTCGAAGCCTAGCATTTGCATAGTACCTAGCCTTTCTCTCTCTCTCTCTCTCTCTCTCTCTCTCTCTCTTTTAAATAGATTTATTTATTTGAGAGAGAGCTAGAGGCTGAGAGAAAGAGATCTTCCATCCACTGGTTCACTCTCCAAATGGCCACAGCAGCCAGAACTGGGCCAGGCTGAAGCCAGGGGCTAGGAGCTTACTCTGGGTCTCCCATGTGGGTGCAGCAGCCCAAGCACTTGGGCCATCCTCCACTGCCTTCCCAAGCACATTAGCAAGGAGCTGGATTGGAAGTGGGGCAGCTGGGTCTCGAACCAGCACCCATAAGGGATGCCGGCACCAAAGGCAGCAGCTTAACCAGCTATGTCACAGTGCCAGCCCCACAACCTTCCTCCTTCCTCTTTATGGCATGATTTTTTTATGCTATTAAAAAAAAAAAAAAAAGGAAGGAGAAAGAAAACAGCAGGCTGGTGGCGATGTGCTGAACTGACTTCGTGACTCACTGGTGGGTCGTGACCCGGAGTTTATAAAACGCTGCATGAGATGCCGCGGCCTTGGCTGGGCTGTGTGTCACTGTGCCGCTGGGACCCGGCGGGCGGCGTGAATCTGGGCACCGGGGCTTTATTTCAGCAGGGCGCTTCCAGCACACTCCTGAGCTGCGGATGCAGGCGATGTGTGCACGCAGTCGCTGCCAGGAACCCCGTCTGCTGCCTCTCCCACAGCACGCTTCGCGCTCGCCCTTCCTCCTGCGTCTCACGCTTGATGGCCACTTCCCTTGCTCCCAGCCTCCACGAGAGGACCTTCAGCCACAGGGCTGGACTCTGTCTACATCGGGTCTCCTCCTACTACCTCTGTCCTGGTGAATGCCAGCCTGTAAGCCCAGCCATATCTTTAAGAGTCATACCCCAAACAGGACGAAGGTCTCCAGATAAAGCTGGCTGTAGTGGCAGGGCCACCCTCTGTCACACCCCCAGGGTGGGAGGAGCAGTCAGGACTTAGTCTGCAAAGCTGCCCCCTGGACTGGTGCGTTACACAGCCTGTGCAACTGTTCCTGGCAAACCCAGTGGCCTCGGGAGGCTGGGCCCAGGTGATGGAGGCGAGTAGGCCCGGGACGCTTTCGTCTAGGAGAGAGAAGGGTGCGATGCGAACTGGGTGGTTCCTCTCTGTGTTCGAGACTCACGTCCTGCTCTCCTTTTCTTCTTTTCTGGGGGCAGCCAGCGTCTCAGACAGCAGAGCCCGGATGGATCAGATGACGGAGGAGGTAAGGGTGCCCCTGGGAGGGGACCAGATGGGCTTCCAGGGAGCACCCCTGCCCCAGCCCAGCCCTGCCTTTCTCGGACTGTAGCCGAGGTTCTCATCTCCACTCCTCGCTGTAGGCCGCTGCCTCTGGCTGGAGCACCCACCCCTCCATCCTCCCTCCCCCCACGGCCGAAGCAGCCTTCCCTGTGCTGTGTCTCGCCCGCCCGTCCGCTCCCTCGCACCGCGGTAACCTTCCCCAGAGCAGAGATGCGCTAGGGGTTCACTACGCATCCGGCTCCAGCCTGCCAGCGTGTATGTAGGAAAGTGTTTGCCTCCACCACGGCCCTGGGAGATGGTACCGTGGGTGAGCATCCAGAGACTCCGAGTCTAAAGTGCCGTGGGCTCCAGGGCCACAGGTGGAAAACTCCAGACCCAACTGTGTGTGACAAGTCACAGTTAAAGCTCAAGTACTCTAAAAACTGTGTGTGAAACGGCCGTGTGCCCATGTGTGTAGGAAGGTGTTCATGAGCTGCGAACAAATTTTGCGTTTAGACTTGGAGCCCACCCTTAAGCTAGCTCTCTCCGTCTCCATTCAAATATTCCAAAATCCGAAAACAATCCAGAAATCTGAGATACTTCTGGGCCCAAGTGTCTGGGGCCAGGGAGACCCAGCCATGGATGATGACCTCACACAGGCGCAGCAACCACAGCCCGAGGCCGCAGCACTGCGTGACCAGAGCCCAGCCCGATTGCTGTTCCCGCCGGACGCCGAATGTCCCTCTCCTGTGTGTCCCCAGTGCCCAGCCCAGCAGTGGCCAGCCCCAGGCTCACTGTAGAAACAGGCCGAGCAGCTGTGCACAGCCCTCTGTGCAGCTCCTGGTTTGCCCAGTGTCGTTTTCCTCCCACCGGTCGTCTGTCGGTGTCTGTAGAGTGAGTTCCCCAGCCGGAAGCGCTCCCTGCCCTGTGGGCTGCATCGTTGCTGGCGAGAAGTCCACAGTCACTCTGTGCTCTCCCGTGAGCAGGGTCTCTTCCCCCCACTGTAGCCGCTTTGGAGGTGTCCTGTGCTTTGCCGGTTATTTTCGGCAGTTTGTTTGGGATGTGCCTTGGTGTGGTTTTCTTTGTGTTTTTCCAACTTGAACTACCAGTCTTACCATCTCTGACTTCTTGGGGTTTGGTTCTGCTAAACAGTTTTCCTTCTGGCTACAGTTAGTGCTGCTTTCCTACTTCTTCACCTGGTTCGTAAGGTATGAAAGGATGCCAGCTGGTGCCGGGATCAGGTTCCATGTCTGGATCTTGTTGTCCTCCTTTGAAGACTGATGTGTTTGTTGATTGACTTGCACTTTCTGAGCATGACGTTCAGGCTTTACTAGGGCAGGTCTCGGGTTTGTCCTCAACACCGGTGGGTTTCTGCCGCGTGCCAGGCGGTTCGGCAGGGTCTCTGCACTCTGGCTGTGCAAGCCGAGCCTCCTTGGTTCTGTATCAGCTCCTGTCTTCCTGACGGTGCTCTCTGCCCGGCTCTGTGGGGCTTGACAGTGTGAAGACACAGCTCAGCACTCGGCGTGTATTTCTGGAGCTCTTGCTCCGCGTAGCTCCCCAGGCTCTCAGACTCTGCTGCTCAAACTCCAGCCACCTGGGTTAAGCTTCATCCTGCCTCTCCTCACCCCGGGAGACCTCCACGCTTGGGCCGAGTTCCCCTCGCCGTGCCGCCGTCCCGGGAAGGCTCCTCTAGGCAGAAGGCCAGGATCACAGCGGGGTTTACTGCACATGTGGCAGCTGCTGGGTCTGGGGCCCAGAGACCGGTGTTAACTTAAATGAGCTCCGCGGTGAGTGTGTGGCCCAGTGAGGCCGGGGCTGGGACTGGAGAGGACAGGAGCTGTGTGAAAACGCCCCTCTGCCCCGTCTTACTTCTGAGGGGTCCTAAGGTAGAAGAACAGTCACGAGAAGTCAGAGAACCAGGCCACACCATAGGATGCATTAAGAGTTTACGGGCAGGGCCAGTGCTGTGGCCTAGTAGGTTAAGCCTCTGCCTGTGGCTTCAGCATCCCATGTGGGCGCCGGTTCGAGTCCCGGCTGCCCTATTTCCAGTCCAGCTCCATGCTAATGCGCCTGGGAAGGCAGGAAGATGGCTCAAGTGCTTGGGCCCCCTGCACCCACATGGGAGACCTGGAAGAAGCTCCCATCTCCTGGCTTCAGATCAGCCCAGTTCAGCTATTGTGGCCATCTGGGGAGCGAACCAGCAGATGGAAGATCTCTCTCTATGTCTCTCCCTCCCTCTTGCCTGTAACTCTGCCTCTCAAATAAAATAAATAAATCTAAAAAAAATAAAATAAATAAAAGACAAACACAAAAAAAGCGGATGAGCAGGCTGGGCGTTTGGCACAGTGGTCAAGTTACCACTTGGGGTGTCTGCATCCCATATCAGAGTGCCTGGTCCTGGTTCAAGTCCTGGCCGCTCAGCTTCCAGTCCAGCTTTCTGCTGATGCACACCCTGGGAGGAAGCAGGTGGTGGCTCAAGGACTTGGGTTCTTGCTACCCACATGGGAGAGTTGGGTGACGTTCCGGGCTCCTGGCTTTGGCCTAGCCCAGCCCTGGCTGAAGTGGGTATTTGGGGAGTGAACCAGGGGATAGAAGATCTCTTGTATGTGTCTTTGTCTTTCAAATAAAAGTGAAAATAAATTTCAAAGACTTTTAGGAGCTGAGAGCACACTCTTACATCATTCGTCAGCACTTTGCTCTGCTTCCCAGCATCTCTTATGGACAGGCTCATTTCTTCATTTTCACTTATTTATTTGAGAGACAGAGTCACAGAGAGAAGTAGAGAGAGAGATGTCTTCCGTCCGCTGGTTCACTCCCCAAATAGCCGCATGGGCCAGAATTGGGCCGATCCAAAGCCAGGAGCCAGGAGCTTTTTCTGGGTCTCCCATGTGGGTGCAGGGGCCCAAGCACTTGGGCCATCTTCTACTGCTTTCCCAGGAGCATTAGCGGGGAGCTGGATTGGAAGTGGAGCAGTCGGGACTCGAACTAGCACTTGTAGGGGATGCCAGCACTGCAGGCAGAGGCTTTACCTGCTATGCCACAGCACTGGCCCCTCATTTTTATCTTTTATTTATTTGAAAGGCACAGTTATATATATATATATATATATATATATATAGAGAGAGAGAGAGAGAGAGAGAGAGAGAGAGATATCTTCCATCTGTGGGTTCACTCCCCAGATACCACCATGGCCAGGGCTGGGCCAGGCTAAAGCCAGGAGCCAGGAGCCTTTTCCAGGTCTCCTGAGTGCAGGGGCCCAAGGACCTGGGCCATCCTCTGCTGCTTTCCCAGGTGCATTAGCAGGGAGCTGGATTGGAAGTGGAGCAGCCAGGACTCAAACCAGTGCTCACATGGTACGCTGGCATTACAGGCCGTGTCTTTAACCACTGTGCCACAGCACCGGCCCCACAGGTCAGTTATTTCCAGATCTTCCTCCTTAGCTCTACCCACCAAAGGCCTCATGGCTGCCAGACTTCCCACTCACTAATAATTCCCAGTGAGTATTGAATAAGGTGTCTTCTGTATCTGGTCCCAAGTCCTGTTTTCCCAGACACGTGCGTAGCGTGTCATCTGCCAACACTAAAGTGGCAGCTCAGTGATCAGGGGCTGCGGGCCGCGCCTTTGATCTGCCTGTCCTCGCGGATCTGCTGCGGCTCCAGCCATTGATTGCATGGGACAGCAAGGTGACCACTGAGGGGGAAGTGTCAGAGGGTTCAAGGAGGCAGCGTCTCCAGCAGACATGGACAAGGCTGTCAGGTGGGTAGCAGCAGTGTCTGTTGAGATCGCTCGAGCAGCCGTGTTGGAGCCCTAGATTTGCAGCAGGCAGGTGTGGCTGAGTGCTTGCGAAGGCAGGTGATTGGTAGTGTGAGGAGCTCCCGTCTCGGCTGACGCTCGGGGTGGGTATGGGGTGGGCCTTCAGCCCCCAGGTGCCCATATGTGTGTTCAGAGCACCAAGAGACTCGCTTTGTAAGTTAGAAAACATTAAATTCAAGGGAAAAGGGATTTTCTAGTGTTTTGGCAGGAATGTGGAAACACAGAGCGAACAGTTGAGTTCGTAATCTGAAGCTGGTTTGCTCGCTGTGTCTGCTCCAGGCCTTCCCCGTCCCGCCTTAGCCTCTTGCCAGCTCCCTCGAAGGATTTCCGAAATCGCGCGTTCCCCACTCTCTTCACTGTGGCGAATGCTGCACGTCAGGGAGTCACGTGTTCAAGGTAAACGTTGCGGCAAAGCCTTCTGAACGCTGGAGTTGGCACAGACTGAAAGGCCAGTTGCTAGAAGGTTGCACTGGCCGCCGTTGGGACCATGCCATGTTAGAGTCAGACCGTGGCGGCTCTAGGGGACTCTGCAGGCCACCCTGTCCACATCTGTCACTGGACGTGTTAAGAAATTGAGGCTTAGAGATCATTACACAAAACAGCAGGACTCAAAGAGAAACCCTGGGCTTCTGCCTCCCAGGAGAACACTCGCTCTTGTGCCGCAGTACCCACCATCATTGTGATTTATTACCAAACATTCACCATGTGCCACTACCAAGCCCTGGTGCTCGTTTAATTCTCCAACAGATCTACGGGAAAGTCTTACTTCACCAGCTTTATTGAGGTCTGAGTGATACACAGTGAGCCATGTTTATTTAAAGCACACAGTCCGAGTTTTGGTAGTGCTTATACCTGTGAAACCACCACCCCTGAAGTTCCTCCTTGCCCCTTGCAAGCCCATCCCTCCCCTGCCCTGGCCCTGGGCAACTGTGTGTGTGTGTGTGTGTGTGTGTGAGACTATGGTGTAGCTGGCAATTTCTAGTCATAGATAAATGGAGGCCTACATGTGTACTCTTTGAGAACTTGATTCTCTTCACCCAGCGGGAGGGTTTTGAGGTTCACCCGATTGCTGTATAAATCATTAATTAACCCATTCATGTTTGGGGCTGCGTAGGAGTCCATTGTATGGATGCACCATAGTATGTTCACCTGTCGATAGACATTTGGACAGTT